CGTCGGTAGGGTTGCACAAGACGTGGTTAGCACTTCATTGGGAAGACTGCGCCTCCGAGTTGCCCGGATTTGATGCACTGATTCACACTTCCACAGGATACGGCCCATACAAGTGGCTTAGCCTGGGGTTTGGCAGCCAGACCCAAATAACTAGGGAAAATTGGCACAAAAGAAATCAAAAAAAAAAAAGCTAAAAAATTCAGGCATTCTAATTAACCTGAAATGTTTCCCCAAGCAGCATCACTGCTGGAAAGATGGATTTAAACCCTGAAGAGGGAAAAACTGACAGAGCTTGTTTTTTGAAAGCCTCTTAAACCACAGCCCCGGGCAGGTTCGTGTTGTTCCCAGAAGCAGGAGGAGCAGCCGCTGCCCTTGGTGATGCTGCAGCTGCACCAGGAAGCAGCATTAGGAACGGCAACGGCTCTCCTGCGTGCTGAACCAGAAACTGTTAGCAGGTTTTTAAAACTACATAGGGATATGTATCTATACGTGCATATATATATCGGAAACTGCTCCATCTACAGCTGGTTTTGCCGGGTGATCCCCGCTGCCTTCACTGGAGCAATGGGATGCGAAGGGAATAGCTGAGCTCCTAGTGCCAGGAGCAAAGCGGCCGGACGAGCCCTGCGGCCCCCTCTTCCCCACGGCGTCGCGGACCTGCTGCCGGCTCCGGGCTGTGATCACCCCATCGGGTTCTGTTTTAATAAGGGTGCGAGGGTAAACGAAGCAGCTGCAGCGCGAGGCCGCAGCGGCGGGGGAGGCTGCGTCGCCTCCGGGGCGCGCGCGGCCGCGGGATTAGTAACGTTATACGGGTCCTTTCACCACTTGCCTTTCGCTTGCTCATATAGGGCCTGGGCCAGCAGTGCCAGGAGTTTATTAACAGTCCATAGCTGCTCAAGGTGTGCGGGATGCTCCCTCTCCCGACCGGCACCTCCATGTGTCTGCGGGGCTCCGGCTCCCCCGGACTCCTTAAATCCCAAGGCGAGACTACGCCAAGGAAGAGCCTTGGGGATGGTGCCAGGACCCTGGGGAAGCTCCTGCTGCTCTACTAGAGTTCACGGGGAGCAGCATTAAAGCAGGGCAGCGTTTGGGGGGTTCTTCTTGGTCACTCCAAGGTCCTGCTTGGGAAGCCTGGGACAATATTAGAGGACAAGCGACCGCCGAGCTACCAAAGAGCTTCTTCAAAAGAGCTCGTTTGAAGCCACCTTTGCGGGATGCATCTCCAAAACCCTCTCCAGCCCCGAGTCCCGCTCCAAGGCGGGCTGCGCTGGGTGATCCATGGGGAAGAGCCTCCCGTGCAATCCCATATCCCTTCGCCGGCTCTGTAAGCTCAGGCAGAATCTGCCTTCTCCAGAGCGGGCTTCCCGCCAAACGCCAGGCACTTTCCCCAAAGCTTCCCGGAGCGGCACATTCAAATCCAGATGTGCCCAGAATGAGGCTTCTCCGGTCCCAAGTGCTCAGCACCCTTGCGAGGAGAAATAGAAGAAAGAATCACTATTTTGGGCTGTTGGCTCAGTCTGGGCTCCAGACCCAGAAGCTCCAGCAGCCAGGTTTGGAATCGTAGCCATTCCGGCTTCATTCCAGCACAGCTCTAAGTTCTGGCAATCCAAGTTTTCCGTTCGCAGCATTTCTGCTGGGGTTTCTGCTCATTCCGTTTTCTTCTTTCACTGGGTTGGCGTGTGTGGTCCCAGATGGAAATACATATTTGTGAGGAGCTGTTTGCAGCTCTCACTGACCCAGTGTTTGCTTACACTATCAAAAATACTCTGCGTCTACTATTCCTTCATCTCCCTTTGATCCCAAACCGCAAAGTACTAAGCGCTTCCTGAAGGGTGCTCCGTTGGCCTGGAAAGGCCAGACCTCCTGAGCCCACGGATATGTTTGTAACTAGCACATGTCTCCTGCTGGCAAACCACTCTAGAAAGGATCTTCTGTAATTCCTTTACCCGATACATCCCACCCCAGAAAAGGGGCTGCTATTACCATTCCCCGAGCCGCCTGCAGATGCGATCGCAGGCTCCCCGCAGCTGCACAAGAGCACTGTGCAACCCGCGCTCCTGCACTTCATCCATCCCCTAAAAATACATACAAGGGTGCTCACAGCACCCTGCTTTTGCTCCTGCATCCAGCTGACTCGCCCCTCGAGTCACCTATGGACAGAAATGGGAGATGGAAGCAGCCGAATGAGCCATCCCCGTCGCCTCCCGCCCAGACCGAGGCGCTCCGAGGTGCAGTTGGGCAGCGGGGCTCATCCTGCGCCACTTGGATCCCCCCTGGAGATGCCTTCAGGCTGCCGTGTCACAGGGAGGCGCTGACTAGACATGTGAACACACCTGGGCCATCATTTCCTCTGCAGGACTGATCTTCCAGGTCCCTCCAGGTTGCTTCCTTAGGCCACCACTTCAGTCAGGAAACATTCAATCTGCCTGGGTATCAGTAACACCCTCGAGGCCTCTGCACAGTGGTATAACAGACCCCTATTCACCCTACAGGTATTAAAGCATTTAGCACCCAGCACAAAGCAGAAGTTGGGAGGGTTTTTGGTACTTCCATGTTTCTATAAACCAGCTGGACAAAGCCGTGTGAGGTTGGGGGAGTTGGAAGGACCCAGCCCGCAGATATCGTGCCCATATGTCACAGCACAAGGTTTATTCTATGCTTTGGCCCTCCTT